CAAATTCTTTAGTTTTATTACCGTACAAATAATTCTGTCAATTACTACATTGTATTATACTTGTTTGTTTGCATGTGTATCTCACCAAAAGAGAGAAAATCTCTTGAGGGAAAACAATATTCCTTAGTCCATTTTTCCAATGTCTGCCTGACATTTGCAAGTGCTCAATATTCCACCCATTCTCTCCACTTCCTTGAGGACAGAAGAAGGTAGGTCTGCTAAGTTACCACTTATTAAGCAACTACTAAGTGCCAAGCACTTTACATGTTTTTTTTTAAATTTATTCTTTACAAGAAGACATGACAGACAACAGACTTTTACAAATGATGAAACAGGTTGAATAAAGCTAAGTAAATTGCTTTTAAAAAAAAGCGCAATTAAAAAAAATGCACTGTTAGAAATGTAGAACTTAGTAGTAAAACACCTGCTTTGCATGTGTAAGACCCTGGGTTCAATCTCCAGTGCTGCAATAAATAAATAAATGGATAAATAAAATTAAGATGCACAGTTAATAAGCAACCAAGAAGGTACTCAAACGAACTCTGACTGTGAGGCATTTGCTCTTGCCAATACGGCAGTGCCTATCAGCAGCCAGCAAGTGTCCACTCAACTCCCAGCCTGGGCTCTGCTGAGCTCCCCTGTATCCTGTAGACATTTCCTGGAGGTTTGTAGCACACAAGGCTGCAAGCAGGGACAGGTGTGTGGATGTGTGCTCTGGGCCTGGGGACAGGAGCAGGGGCCCTGCCTTTGGATTCATATGCACACAGCCGCTTCCAGGTCTCAACTGTCAACTCCTCAAAGGCTTCCCAGTCAACCGAGACCACATTAATGTTGAAACTAACCTGGTGTACACAAAAGCTCCTTAGTAAAACAGCTCCTTTTTCTACAGTCCTCCTTTGTTCATAAGTTTCTGTCACTGGGAAATGAGTGCTTGAGAAACCTTAATTGGTCCAGCTTGGGTTGAACCTGGGAGCTAGTGTTTTAGTTTGCCCCKGGCTTCACCTTGAAGCGTGAAAATGGATTAGAGTTCTGTATTCCACGGTGCACGCACACACCACTACCTCCCCTACTGTCATGGTTCCAAAGATTTGCCTTCAGGACAGAAGATGGATGTGAATGAGGGAAAAAAATTTCTAAGAAGTCCTTAAGTTTTACCTACTGCTAATCAGTATTGTCGTCATGTGCTACATTAGGCTCCCATAAGATTATATAATGGAGAATGAAGAGTAATTTAAAATCAAAACAGCAGCAAAAAAAAAAAAAAAAATTATATAGCCTAAGTCAGGCATGGTGGCCTGTATTCTCAGCTACAGGAARCTGAGACAGGAGGATCACAAGTTCGAGGCCAGCCTCAGCAATTTAGGTAAGATCCTGTCTCAAAATAAAAAGAGCTGTGGATATAACTCAGTGATAAAGCACCCTTAGGTTCAGCCCCCAGTACTGCAAAATAATAAAATATAGAAAGGGCTGGGGATATAGCTCAGTGACAAAACACTTGCCTAGCAATAATGAGGCCCTGAGTTCAATCCCTAGTTTAAAAAAAAAAAAAAATCTACAGCCTAGGGACATTGCAGCCATCTTAGTTCAAGTACACTCTACTTGATGTTCACACAATGAGGAAATCACCTAACAGCCAGCCCATTGTTAAGCAATGCATGACTAGGGTAGCTATTTGTCTCTAAATATTGCAGCTATCCTGAACCCTAAGCAAAGACAAGAAAAAGAAAAATCAATGCTTTATTACAAACCAGCTGAAAGCGCRTCTTATACTGAAGGACTGCAATTTTGATCTTTAAAGCATAAGAAATCAATGTTAATTGTTTGCCTGCTCTATGAGATGACCTTTCATCAAGTAATTGATCACGTGCTTCGGAGTATTAGAAGCAACTGCAGAAAGAGTCCACAATAACTACCTCATTATTGGATAATATTAGCTCCCCTACCCCTCAGGACAGTGGCAAAGAATAAATGAGATCACAGAAAGACCTCAGCAGTGTAGGAAACGCTGTCATTAATGAAAGGGTACACTGTCAAAGGGGCCCCGGGGGAGGAGCSTGGCCAGATCCCCACCTCTGCAGAAGAACTCCCCAGAGTCAGGTTATCAAGGTTATCACCACTTGCCTGGGACTGGGACGTCACAGGGCAACATCCCAAATGCTCCAGAGAACTTTAAATTGGGTGGGAATATCTTAGAGGAAGAAGTGGATGCTGAGGCTGGTGACGATGGAGCTCTGGGAACTTATTCTCTCCAGAAGAAATGCACTGGCTGAGAACAGAAAAAGACTAAATCCAGAGAGGCACGAACCATCCAGGAGTTTCTGAGGTGGGTGGTGTCCACAGGGGCCGCTTTGGGAAGCGMAGTTCTCACCTCCCTCGTTTTCTCATACTGCCCAGAGCCAGCTGAGGCAAAACACCCTCATCCACCAGGAAGAGTGTGTGGGACTGAGTGGGCTGGGGATGGGAAGGAAGGGACAGGATGGAAACCCAGAAGCCTTTTCCAGGAAGAGATTTAGAGGAAAGAATCTTTTATTTTGGAGGAGTGAGTAGTCAATGTAGAGTTCCAAATAGCCATCAAAAGGCAGAGCTCTCTCTAATTGGCAGTCAAGTCCCACAATGCAAGACGGATTGACTCGGACAAAGTAGATGAGAGTAGGTGCATTGAGCACTTTCTCTGCAGTGCCTCAAAAAAAGCAGTAGAAAAATAGGAAATGTTGGCCAGCAACTCCAAGGCTGAGGCAGGAGGACTGCAAGTTTGAGACCCGCCTTCACAATTTAGTGAGACCCTGTCTCAAAATAAAAACAAAAAGTACTGGGAATGTAACTGAGTGATGACACGCCCTTGGGTTCAATCCTCAGGAAAGAGAAATAAAGGAGGGAGGGAGGAAGGAAGAGACGGAAGGAGGGAGGAAGGGAGGAAGGGAGGAGATAAGAAAAGAAGGAAGGAAGAAAAGGAAGTGGGGCGAAGGGTTGGCCACAGGGCGCCAGTCAGAAATGACTGGTGTGCAAGCACAGGGAAGGAAGTTGTGCTGGGGACTGCCGGGGCTCCTTCTCAATTTGAGTATAGTTGTTGAAATCCAGAAAGTCTTTTAAAAAGARAGTGTAGGCTTCTCTGGGGGAGAGAACAAACTGCTCCCAGATCACAACTGGGTAAGCATTTTGATAAGAATAATTCATCTTTGTCCTTTGGGGGCCCCATGTCTCCATACATACTCCCTCCAAATTGATGAACTGAACCATTCATTTTGGTTAATAATGGGCATAAAATTAAGAACTAAGGCGGAATTCACAAGAGTTCATAATCTAGAGGTAAGGATTAGAGGTCGATTGACACCTCCCTTGGCTTCAATCTTCTGCAGAGGGGTATAATAGGTTATTTTGCAAAGCCTATTCTATTGATCAGCCCTATCCATGGAAATGGTGAATCTGAGCTGCAACTCTTCTTCCTGTAACTTCACACTGTTCCGTTTCTTATGCTTTCACATATTTAAAGAGTCACCTCCAATCTTCTCTATTYCAGGTCCAACCCCTTTCCTTCAAACAGTTCTGACATAGGTCATTCTCTTCTGAACTCTAATACCCATTTCCTAAGAACTGGTCCTAATACACCAGATATAATCAAATTCATACACGCTACAGTAAGATTTCTTTCTCTCTTTTTTTTTAATCCAAGCATGGTGCTTCCATTAATGAAATTTAAAACTTTCAAAGTGTCCTGTCCTATTATTGTCTCATATTTGGCTGATTTTTCACATGAAATTCTATCAAATAGCAGGGTGTGGTGGTACACATCTATAATGCCAGCTATTTGGGAGATTGAGGCAAGAGGATCACAAGTTCAAACCCAGCTTGGACCACTTAGGGAGACCTGTCTCACTAAAATAAAAATAGAAGGCTTAGGGAATAGCTCAGTGGTACAGCACTTACCTAGCGTGGGCAAAGTGCTAGTTTAATTCCCAGTACCCCACAAACACAAAGAAATCCTATCAAAGTACGTTCCTGATGGCAACCCTAAAGAAATGAATCTCTATTATCAGTATCACATTTCCTTTTTTGAAAAAAATCTCTCTCAGTTTCCCATTGTTCCCAACAGAAGCCACTATTCTGTTTGAAATCATATTAAATCTTGATTTTAATTAAATTTCCTTAAGCTTTATTTAAGTTTGATAAAAGTGGCAAAAGCACCTTTGGCTTTTTCAACAGAACTAGATCCAAAACAGAGACCCTGTGGAAGCCAGCTGAGACCTCATTTAAGTCAACATTAGTAAGGTGGTGGACTTGGCAGAGTGCTTGCCCAGCATGCTCAGGGTCCTGAGTTCAATCCCCAACACCAAACACATATATTGACTTCTGGGGAGGGGCAAAGAAGTTTAACTTGTTACCACAAACCCCCTTCCATCTACCACGTGTAGCATGGTACGAATCAGGCTAGCTGGCCCTCATAACCTGAGCACACAGCTAGTTATATCTGGAATCCTCCGCTGAGCATTTAGGAGCCTCCAAATTCTCCGTGTTCTTTTACATATTCAATCTCATTCTCCATCATTAACCTCAACCACATGCAACGCATTCCAAGCCAGTCAGGCTGGTTTGGTGCCGCCACCGGACACAACACACACTCAACCCCAAGACATGCGGCTTCCTCAGCACAAAATCTCTTCCCCAGCACYGTCCACACTGTACCCGGCCCAGAAGGCCTGACTAGAGGATGCCAGTTCTAAGTCCAAAGTCTTGCCAAAGTGTTTGGCTTGCCACAGGTCCACACCCCTCCTTGCTGAACCCGAAAGGCTTTCAGGATCAGCCTTTGGGGTTACGCCCTCATTTCTTGGGTGAACAGCTTGTCTCTCCACTCAAGTCTCCAAGGACAAGGGTCCGGCGCTCTCCTCTGGCTCTTCCACTTCCCAAAGTGCTCGCCCACCGCAGAAGCACGATCTGACTCAAGCACGTGGCTGGGGCTCTGTCCTGTTTCTCCCACCCACCCGCTCCCTCCTCTGGGATCTCACCTTTCTTCCCGCACTCGAGGGCTCAGGAACCTGCTCGAATCGTCATCATGGCTGCTCTGCTGGCTGCTCTGCTGGCTGCTGGGGAAGACACAGGATACAGACCGTTAATGCTCAACTTCTTTCTCAACCCCGGGGAGCTCTTAGACCTCAACTAGAGGGAAAAAAAAAAAGGGGGTTACAAAACTGAGGCTACAAGTTCCCCCTGTGCAGAGAGTTTAGCACAGAGAGTGTACTATGGGAGGAGGGGTGTGAGAAATGACACAAAAACCCACCCAAGATACCTGAGGATAGTTTTGCTGCCCCAGCTGGAAGACGAAGGTTTTGACCTTGGCCCTGTTCTTCCCCAGCTAAATATGCACATCCAGGGCATCTTAACTGCCCCTCTAAATCTCACTCCGATGGGTAAATGATTCCTGTCGTTCCTCATCCCACTAGAGGATCCCAAGGAACTGATATAGAATTGAGGAGGGAGGGGCTTAGTAGGGTGTGGAGGAAGGCAAAAGACTTCACAGATAGGATCTGGGGTCACCTGGTCTGCTTTTCAGCCCTCAGGAAGGGCTGAATTGAGTGAGGTTAAAAAAAAAAATAGAAGGAATAAAGGGTGGAATCCCTCTAATCCTCACAGCCYTGCAGGTAAGAAGGACTCCTGAGTTCAAGGTCAGAACTCTGTGAACAGACTCCACCCTTAARGTGAAACGGAATATACTGCCTTTCATCTTATTCCAGAGAGAGAAAATCTTTTCAGACACTTCATGACACCATCTATATAATAGATGAATGCTGATTTTTTTTTCCCATTTACAAGTGTTACCTACTCCAGGCATCTGACAAGGATCCGAAAACTACAGCCTTCGAGCCAAATCTGGAGCCATCTGTTTTTATACAGTTCCATGAGCTAAGAATGGTTTTTGCATTTTTAAAAGGTTGGGGGTAATCCAAAAAAGAATATTTTGGGACACTTGAACATGATGTGAAATTTGAATTTCAGTGTCCATAATGACACTTTATGGGAACACAGCCACATTTGACATTTACGTGGCRTCCTTGATTACTTTTATGCTATGGTGTCTGAGCTGAGGAGTTGAGGAGTTGAGGCAGAGCCGCGAAAGTTCAGTAGAGGAAAGACTTCAGGAGCCCACAAAGCCAGCAATGTGAACCCAAGGAGCTTTCATGGGAAAAGGCAGACGAACGCAGCTATGCATAGATTTTATTAATAATAAAGTCCTACTACAAAATTTTTTCCCCACTACTGGGGATTGATCCTCAGGGCAATTTACCACTGAGCTACATCCCCAGGACTTTTTACTTTTTATTTTGAGACAAGGATCTAGCTAAGTTGCTGAGGTCAGCCTTGAACTTGTGATCCTCCTTCCTCAGCCTCTTGAGTGGCTTCGATTACAGTCATATGCCACTGTGCCGGGCTGTAAAGTTTTTCTTCTAAAAACTCACTAAATTATTATTGATTTTATAAGTATCATCATACCCTATTCTGGTATCTTTTTACTACTGGTTTTTCAAAGAATCACAAATGTCTGTATTTTCATTGTTTATCTGGCAGTATCAGAATGTATATTTTCTCCCCCACACACATTTTGTTTACTTTTCTTTTTTGTGGTCTTACAAATTTTTTTCTTGGTATTCTATTTTTGTGGTATTTGGAGGGTTTATGTATATTTTTCTGAGTTGAGATCATATTAATTGCATAATCATAAATTTCACACACAGCTCATAATTAATAAATAATAAACATGGGTTGGTTTTTACAAGGCCTTCAAGTTCCTTCACTTTGTTGTCCAATCCAATTTTTTAAAAAAGAAAGAACAAGAAAAAAGAAAATGAAAAAAGAGAGAAGAACTAGTAAGAAAAAATAAGACCAAAAAATTATTAATATGAATGTCACTACAACCCAAGCAACAGTGTAACCAAAATCATTTCTTTGTTCTGACAAATTGTTCACTGCAATAAGGCCAAGCGTGGTGGCACATGCCTATAAATACCAGTGATTTGGGAAGCTGAATCAGGAGGATTGCAAATTTGAGGCCAGTCTCAGCAACTTAGCAAGGTCCTAAACCACTTAGTGAGTCCCTATCTCAAAATAAAAAGTAAAAGGGCTGGGGATGTGGTTCAGTGGTAACCTCCTCCCCTGGTTTCAATTCCCAGTTAAAAAAAAAATTGTCTACTGCAATAGGTGTGCTGATCTGATCTCTAGAGTACATTCCTTAGGCTAGATTCCCAGCAAACCACAAACTGAACAATCTTAAAGAATTTCATCTCAACCAAAAGAGTACATGAATTATTTGTGGTTATGGTTATACAGTTGTAACCACACTTCAAGGTTCTTCCAGCAAGAAGTAAATGGCTTTGAAAGCAAATTAAGTCAAAATTTTCATACACACAAGGAATCACATACACACACACCCCAGAAACCAGAACAGCACCTACACAAAGCCTCCAGCTGCGAGGCAGAGCTAAGTGCCTACAAAAACCTTTTCTCTTTACTTTGTGCCAAGTGCTTTTTTACTGCCTTTCCAACGTGGAGTGTCCGTTCATCATTTTCCCCTGCCAGCTGTGACAAACTTACCTATTAAAAACTCCTCAAAACCAAATCTCACTGAACTACTGTTGACCCACAGTATCRACTATTGTATGCATCAAGCATTCTCTTATATACAATCTGGGATAAGTGTTATTCTATGGTAGGCAACCCACAGATGGCTGGAACTCAAATTCCAAATGAGACACAGCTCCAGAGACAAGCCTCGAGAAAAGAGTAGTGACCTACACTCCGGGCAGCCCATGTGAGGAGTAGCAGGAAGGAGGGGTACCTGAAGCCCCATGCTTTATGTCATTGATAACAGTCGATGGGGCTCAACAAACCCAAATGACCATCAACCTCACAGTCTCTTCAAGAAAAAGGTTGACTGACCTTGACCCATTTGAGCCAGGAGAGGTTGGTTCTTTCCACTCACCCTGCCCTCCAGCTTGCAAACATATCTTAACATTAAACTGATTAAGGCCAGACCTAAAATGGCAATGTTACCAGAGTTTCAGAAAAATAATTGAGCTAATATTACCAAGTTATCCCACTAGATGGCACTGTCGGCTTCCAAACCAGAATCAACCAGGCAGCCTAATACCTTAGAGCATCAAGAACCCCAACCAGGGCCAACCTTCTGGAGCCCCCTTCTGGCCTTCATGTGGCTTGGAAAGTTCTGTCCAAGGAGAATTAAGACAACATTGATTTGCCTTCACACTATTGATTAGTTCCTGGTGATTAAGAAACATCAACCTGCAAGTATTTATAGAATGCCCTCTATGTGTACTTATGCACTGAGGCAGGGGTTAAGAGTCTAGAATCTCGAATTATGCAGCCTGGAATTGAATGCAAGCTCCACTCCTAGTTACATGATCCTGAGCAATTGATTCAACWTCATTTTCCTTATCTATCAAATGGAGATAGATGTCATGATAGTTCTTTCCTTGTAAAGCTCTATCGAGGTTTTAAGAACAAGCAGGTGAAGCCTGGACAGCAGTGCCTGGCATGTGTCCTAATGCAAAATGCCAGCAGTCATCACTGCRAGCAAGGCATTGTTTTGTGAGTTATAGAAATAAAAAGAGAGAGAGACATGAAGACATGAATCTAATGAGGATCTTACTCTCAAGGTGTCTGCATTCTGGAAGGGAGGGCTCAGTATAACTACAGTCRAAAATAGCAAATTRTAGCATTCCCAAGTACCGGTGAAAGGCTTTGAGACCACAGACTACAAACAGCCGTTCCTTCTGTGGTCAGTAAGAGAAGAAGGTCTTAACGAGTTTTTGCACTGACACTTAAAACTGGATCCATTCAAGACAAAGAGAAATGAGAAAAAGAAAGCATTGTGGTTGGGCTCCACTTACTATTTTCCATGCACAAAGCCCTGTGGGAATGGGCAAGTAAAGATGACAATGACCTGGCCCCCCGCCAGCAGGGAACAACCCCACATACACACACACCTGCGCATCTAGTTGGCATGGGTATGCACTGCATACTGGGAGGAAGCAACTCACAAGGGACAGAGTGTGGGTGGTGACACCAACTAGAGTTTCCTGGAACTCTTCAGAGAGGTGAACACTGGGCTGGAAGAACTGCAGGTGAATCTATGGTACCGTCTTTCTTCCTCCAAGTGTCCGAACGGGGATTTGGTCTTCTCTCATATTTGTTTTATAACAGTCTTAAGTAACTTAAATAATGCCAACCACTTCTCCAACTCAATCCCATGAAATAATATTGTTTTGGTTTTTTTTTGGCATTACAAGTCTTAATACTGAAATAATATTGTTGATCAGGATTTCCAGAGATTCAGAATAGTTCATTCTTTGGGGCTCTTGAGAATTAAATAAATGTATTGTGAGATGGATATGAACATTTGGGGGAGGGATAGAACACAATGGTTTGGTTAAGTGTCCCCCAAAAGTCCCAGGATGGCATCATTGAGAGGTGGAGGGATCTTTTGGTGGGAAAGGGGTACTGGGAGGTCCTTAGGTCATCATAAATGTGCTTCAAAGGGGTTGTAGGACCCCGTCTCTTCCTATCTTTTTCTCAGAGGTGAGCAGTTTGCTGTGCCACACATCCCTGTCAGGATGTACTGCCCTCACCAAAGGTTCAAAGCAGTGGGACCACCCAATCTTGGACTGGAAACTCTAGAACCATAAAYCAAAACAAACCTATTCCCTTTATAACTTAAATTTCTCAAATACTTTGTTATAGTATTGCAAAACTGACTGGTACACCCTTTTCCATGAATGCTTTCAAATGATTCAGGCCACCTGGACCCTGAGCAACTCACACTGCAGCCCTAATGAATTCAAGGCCATGACAAAAGCAACCATTACCCTAGGCTGTTTACAGAGGAAGGGTCAAAGGCCACAACATCAAGGACCAAGTTCCCATACACCCCACATTAGTCAAGTCTTTTGTGTCTAGACTGACTTAAAGAAGTCAGAAAAAAACTTGGAAAAAGTCCAGCAGATGGCACTAACAGATGAAAATGTCTGTCASACTGAAAAAGTAGCTCTAAACAAGGGTTTTTGGAATGACT